TCTCTTCAAGGTGGCAACAGGCATTTATCTGTGGGGACATCTCTATGCTATAGGCTCTCCCAATCTAAACTCAAGAGCAGTTCAACCTTCACATGGAGAATGTCCTTTCATCAGGGTCGCCGAGTCTCTAAACTTGGAGAAGACGTATTAATCGCATACACTTTCTCTTCTGAACTTTTTGATTCTTCATTTCTCTTTGTGGATTTTGGTTTCCCTGTGTCCACCTCTCTTTGTTTTTCTGTCTCCTCCTATTTCCTTCAGTCAGTCTCTCTCCATCTCTCTCTGTCTCTATCTCTCTCTGTCCCTGTCTCTGTCTCTCTCTCACACACACACAGAATGAACAATTCCTTTACATGCACACATCCTTTACCTTCCATAGTCACTTTCTCCGTGAAAAAGCAGCAACTGAAAATTCAGGAAGCCTATCAGACTCGTAATTTCTGCATTCATCACTATCCCCTCTGAATAGAGAATGACAAGGGATAACAAAAGTGCAGGTGTCACAGACACCTCCCTAGTAGAGCTCCAAGGCTCCCTCCCTCACTGGCTCCAGCCCAGCAGTCCCCCTCCACCTGAGTCCAGTCTACCCCTGTCCTTAGTGCTGAGTCAACTGACAAGAGAGCGGAGTAAAGTAGCAGCCATATCTCCCCCCGCCCCAACATATACACGTGTGTACCTACACACACGCATCTGGGATCACGGTTACCTGAGTGTATGCGGCAGCCATGGGTGGAGGGAGTGGATTGGATCAAGATAGTAATTAGATGCCTGGCTCAGTGGTAGATAAATAAGTCCATCATTGATGTGTCTATGCTGTCACTGGATCCCGTATCTTGCATATGGGAAAGGAGATCTTAGAGTGTGAACCGACTTGCCCAAGATCACACAGCTTGTAAGAGGGAAGCTGGGATCTGAACCAAGGTCCATCTGACTGCAAAACCTGTGTTTTATCTGCAAATGAGGAAGTCTTTATCCAAGATAGCCAGAAGAAGGGTGACTTTATACAGCGAGTCTTAATCACGATATAAGACTCGTGCGTCGAGGTCATGGCTAGAAAGAGGGTGTGAATATCAAGTCAAAGAGTGAAGTGAAGCCTCAATTAGGAGAAAAGTAGCTTTTCAAAATATAGGTGCATCAGGAAAACAGTAGCATATAGTGAAAATATTCAGCTGCGGCAAGAAACTAAAAACTTGATGTGGTGCTTGGAGCACGGCCTGGGAGCAGAGGTGATGGTTAAAGGAACCTGACAGGCTGAACTCATACCTGGGCTGGAGCTTCTGGGGATGACGTAAGCTATTCTAGCTGCCTTCTAAGGTCCAGCTCTTCCTGGCTTTGGCTGGTACCATCTAATTGACCTGTCCAATGCTCCAGTCCCCTCTAGACTGGTGGAATGCCCATGATATCCACTTGGTGATAAGAAACCCCGCCTCCCTGCCTGGATGTTTCTAGTTCTTGTTGGCATGCCCAGTGCCTCTCTGGAATCATCATCAGAAGCTGGGTCTGTTGTTCAAGCTTTCACTTTGGCCCTGTTACAGGGAAACAACACAAAGGTATGGACAACCACTCTCCCTTTCTGCAAACAGCAGATATTGTTCATTGATCTCAGCGTTCTTTCCCAGTGATCCCAGTGACCTTCATACACTGGTCTAGAAAAGCCACTCCCCAGCGAATCAGAACTGGTACATGAAACAAGTTATGGGCCGTCGTATGACAGTGACTGGGTTCCCCACCACATGCCAGCCACCTGCCTTTCTCCAGCCGTCTATCAGTAGATTAAAAAAAAAAAAGTCTATCACAAGAATGACAAACTGTTGGAAGGCTAATACAGGTGGGCCCCACGTGAGGACAGCACCCATGTCTTGCCTCCCGCAATGCCCCAGCATGTGGCACGCGGTCTGCAAAGAAGCACTTAGGAAGGACCGGCGAACCAGAGGTTAATGAATGACTCGTGGGAGGTATTTTAATCAGGAACATTCACCCCAACTCCCTTGACTTTCCATGACTTCTAGTGGCTGGATCACAACAGTGGCCAGAGCCCCATCATTAGTGAACCTAGAAAGGCTGGGACATTTGTTCCTAACGTCTGGGGACACTGGATGTGGGCTCAGGTTGGAATTTAAACACCAGCTCATTCAGTAGCAAACTGTGTGGCCCTGGTAAGCCCCCAATCTCTTTTAAGTTCAGATTTCCCTTCTCTAAGATAAGGGGTGAGTATTTGCGCCTTCTCTGCCTCAAGGGGTAGGTGGGAGGACCAAAGGAAGGCTGTGTGTAAACTGTGAAGGGCTGTACAATGTCCGTGGTTCTTATCCACACCCTGTTTGGTCTCTTCACAGCCTGCTCTTTCAGCCTTGGCCTTTCCTACCAAGAAGAAACCACCATCTGGGTCTAAACATAGATTTCAAAGAATCCTGGAGCACTCCGCCCTCTACCTTTGCTGGGTTGAAAAGATATTTGCAGGGACTAGTGACACAGGTGCTTTTCAGGGAGAAATGAGGGCTGTGGCCACACATTAGCAAGAGCTGTGGCCAGGACTACAATCCTCAGCTGATGTCCATAACGTCACTTCACATTAAGCTACTGTTTTTTATGTACTTATTGTATGCGATGTGTTTTACCTGTATTATCTCATTTCATTCTCCCAAAAGCCTTGTAAGGAAATTACTATCCCTCACTTACCAAACAAGGAGACTGAAACTTAGAAGTTACTTTGCCTGAGGTTTCCTGGCAGGGATGTAAGAAGAGGTATCGGGACTTGAAATCCTGTCTGTCTCACTTCGACACTGTTCTAATCCGTCTTCTTCCCACAAGCTCTGCCCCAAGAGTGATCAGCTTCCAAACCCAGATTCATCCTGACCTGGTCCCCAGTGAACCCTGGTTTCACGGATGTCAATGACACACAGTTGACATATAGATGTCAATGACACACAGGTAGCTGGAGAGAGAAGGGACACACACCAACTACCTCTGAGTCCAGAGTCCTTTCTGTCCTTCATGGGCAAATTCCCAGCTTCTCATCCACCTCCTCCCCAGCATCACTTGCAAATTTAAAAGGTAAAACTACGGTGTTTGATGTACCATCCAGGTGGTCACATCAGGTAGAGACAGAGAGGAAGAAACACACACAGATCAGCCGGCCTCAGTGTATCCCTATGCTCTTCTGGGAGCGAGCACGGACGAGGGAAGAAAGAAAGGTGCCTTTGCCCTGGAGGCCCGGAAGGAAAAGCTTCTGTACCAAGCTCACCCAGCAAGTTTGTGGCAAACTTGAAGGTTCTCTGAGTCTGAAGGGGGTCCCCAGCTGCTGTTTCAGTATTCTGTCTGCCCTCGTCCCCATCTTACTTGCCATAGATTCCATGCATCCATTGTATATAAGAAATAGCATTTTCTGGAGTGAAAAAGTCCAAGGCCTGGAAGCAGCCGAGAGTGGAGATGGGGTGGGATTCAGCATTAGCGCAGCGTCCCAGGCCCCAAATGCCGGACGAGGCAAACTGGTTCAGTGGCCACAGTGAGCGAAGGTTTTTATAAACATAACCTAATTGTATTACTTCAAAGTCCGCAAGCTTATTGCCCTGCTTAATGATGTGTCACCTTATTTATAGGGTAGTGATTTAATGCACTTCCTTAAAGACTGTTGTTGTCACAGCCATAAACTGGAGCTATTCCCAGACAGCTCAATTATTCCCCTGCGCCTATAAACCACCCCCGGTGCCCCAAACAGTTGCACACACGAGAAAGGGAGGGATGACACCATGACAGGGTGGAGAGTGCAAAGGGAATTGTTCGGGAAAAGACAAAGGCCGGGGCTTCATCCAGTTGGGGATGAGGGGCTGCATGAGAAGAGCTAGACAGGGAGTGTGCAGCATCCCGCTCTGTCCTGGCTCTATCCAGAGGAGCTGTGTGACTCTGAGCAAGATTCCTCTTCCCTTTCAGCCTTAGTTTTCCCAGGTGTGCAATGGGAGTGCTGAGCCCAGTGAGACCTGTCAGGTCCCTGTGGCTCCCACATTCTGTGGTTTTAGGAGTTACGGTCGATCTGGTTCTTGGAGATAGGATGGCTGGTCCATATGGAGAAGGTGCAAGCATGTTTTAACATTATTCCTCACCCTTTCTGTCGATCGAGAGACTTTCTTTTCAAATTAATTGATAATAATAGTAACAATGGTAACAGAAAGTGATCCTCACCCTGCTACGTGTGTCTGCAGGGCACTTGACTTGTTGGCTTATCTGAGATTCATCTTCTCATCTGTGAAATGGGGCTGTGACTACAGGGACCTGTTATAATACATAATGCATGTATGCCATAGTTCCATCTTTCTCCAAATGCTACTGCATAAACCACTTTCCTTTAATGTAGGAGGGAGACAGGAATGGCTAAAGTACCCATTTCACAGGAAGGGAAAACTGAGGTGGGAAGGGAATGGATTTCCCAAGGGGAGTGGCACAGACTGGTCTCCTGCGTCTGGGAAATTCCAATTCTGAAAATAGCTGAGAATCGGAGGGAAATAAGATCTGCTGACCCGCCCTGAGGATAAAAGTCTCTCCATGGCAGAGAGTTGAAACTGTCCCCCAGACATGAGGTGATCGCTCCCAAAGGAGTCAGAGCTCTTCTTGGGTTCTTTCAAGAGACTGAAGAGAGGAAGGTGTCAAGGAGACACCACACTCCCACCCCACAGCCTCCTCCACCCGCCGACCCTGGCAGTTGTTTCAAGGGGAGAGAGTGGGAAACAAGGAGCGTGCAGTAGAAGGCCAGGTTCTGGAGTCCAGAACACCACCCCGGGCTCTCAGGAAATGCCTGAACTGAAAGACGCCTGAGAAAGCATCACACGGTCCTTCATTCCATCCACAGTGAACGAGAAGCCCAGAGAGGGGCAGGGACTTGCCTAAGGCCACCCAGTTTCTATGGGGCAGAGCCAGGATTTAGCTCCCAGGGAGCTCAGTTATCTCCCCAGCAGCCTTACCTCCGCACTGCATCTGGCCACCACCTCCAGCAAGCCCTCCAGGCTTACCTTTCTGATACTGGAGCCACAGCTGCTGCTGGACCTTCTTGCTGGGGAAGTGGATGACGCAGGTGAGCTCGGAGCCATAGAGGGCTTCTGCGACGTAGTGCGAGCCGTAGTGCTGGATGAAGGATAGCAGCTCCTCCCGACTGCTCTCCTTGGTCAGGATCTTGAGGACGTCGGTGAAGCCTGGACAGAGGAGCAGCACGCAGAGGTGGTCAGGCTTGGGAGGCTGGTGGCCGGCAAATGACAAGCCTGGATTTGGTGCTTTATCCATCACCATGGTGTCAGCCAAATGTGCTCAGCTTTCCCTCACTTATTTTTCAAAGACTGCTCTCGCTGGTGGATACACAAGACACTAGGACTGACAGGGAATCAACAGCAGAGGAAGGCCTATAGCTGGCGACCTGAACATCACTATCAGGAAAAATCAAAGGTGATATCTACTGAGCACCTAGCGTGTACCAGGCACACTCCTAGATGTTCCAGACACTTTGTCTAATTTAACCTCAGCCCAGCACTGCAGTCCCAGCCATAATAAGCCCTGTCGAGTGGATGAGCAAATCAAAGGTCATAAACTGGAGCTGATTTGCCTTTGGTCCTCCAGCCAGAGGAGCTAGGATTCCAACCCACTTCTCTTCTCACCCCAGGATGCACGCACTTCCCACGTACCCAATTATCCAGGGCCTGAGCTGTCCACTGCTGGAGCCTGGGGGCTGCACTGGCCCAGGCTCAGCAGACAGTCTGTGTCCTCATATCTGATCCCTGGCTTAGCTTCCTGTAACATCACTTCCCTTCCTGTCCCTGCCTCAGCCTCCCTGAAACAAGAGTTATGTCCTTTCTCCTGCCATTGTCAAGGGCCTTCCTGCTGTTTCATTGCCTTTAGTCCTATGCCAAAGGGGCCTGAGTCCTCAGTGCCTGGCATGGGGCCTGCACAGCAATCACTCAGTAACCACTGCCCCCCTGCCTTCTTTCTCCTCCTATAGGCAGGTCACCAAGCTATTTTCCCAGGGGGCTTAAGACCTTCTGGGCTCCTCCCTGCTATGGATAAAGCCCAATGACCTTACCTGGGTATCCCAGGCCTCCAAGGTCATCTCCCATGAGCTACATACATCAGGCTTTACCTCTGGCCAAATCAGTTTTCTTATTTCTCCTGTGTGTGATCTGGGATTTCCATCGTTCTTTCTTTATGTATATCCCTCCCACACTCTCAACACACACACACACACACACACACACACACACACACACACACACACACACACACCACGATTTACCTGGAATGGACTCCCACTTCCTCCTTAAGTCACACTCATGCTTTCAGACCCCAGGAAGTCACCCCTCCCCCAAGAAGCTTTTCCCACCATCTGGAGCACCTACCCTTTGCACCTTCAACAGGCATCACCTTGAAAGCAGAAGGTCTGTCCTATTTGTCTCTGAGTCTGCACATGCATCCTTCCCCACCCCCAAGTCAACCAGGTTCACGGCACAGATCCCGGACACGGCAGACACACCGACGCCCATTATTATAAGAACAACTGATTCTGTGCCACATCAAAGTAAAATGTAAAAGAGCAATCTCTTCTTCAACATTAAAAATGCGCTCCAATTTGCGAACATTTGATTTACAAGGGAGTTCTCCGGAGCATCATTATTGATTAATTAAAGTAGACACACCTTTGTAGTTCTAACAGGAACACCGGCAGTGTTATTCACAAGCGCAGGTGTAAAGGTGTGGGTGGTGGTAAAAACAGAAACAGGGCTCAAAGAATGGGTCCTTGATTAGAACAACCCCTCCCCATCAACCTGTTAACCCATGCAGCTGGGTAATTAATGCAGCAGAGTTAATAATGAGATGGTTTCTGTTAAGTAATAAATAACACCATGGAGATGCCCTGTGGCTCTTTATCCAGGCAGACAACACTGCCTTCAAATCCCTGCCCTGCTCCTGTTCTGCCACTTACTAGCTGTGTGACCTTGGGCAAGTTACTTAACCTCTCTGACCCTCAGTTTCCTTATCTAAAAAAAAAAAGTGATAAAGAATGCCTTCCTCTCGAGACTGCTGTAAGCCCTAAGACATGAAACATTATAAAGCGCTTGGGTGATGTCAGCCATAATTACTATTTATACTTCCCAATACCCAGGCTAAACGAGTTCCATGTTGCTCACAAACAAAGCGATATTGAAAGAGAAAAGATAAGAAAAGAGCTCGCCCACCATTTCAAGATACTTGGACAATAACCCAGTGGCAGTGTTATGAGTAAGAGTCAGGGTAGAAAACCCAAGGCCAGGCCCCATCTTTTCAGTTTTCGTTTCCTTACTTTTCAGTTTTCGTTTATCTTTTATTCCTTCATCAAAACGGAGCACCAGTAATGTGCAGGAATGTAAGGTACAGGAATAAGACCCAAGCCCTACCCACAGTTCTCAGGTTAGTGGGGGAGACAGACAGGATTCTGATGTGAATCAAGCACTTGTTAGTGCTTTAATATAGGCAGTTGAGCACAGAGAATTCCTTGAATTATTCCAAAGGGTATAGATAATGGGGGAGGCATCTCCAAGTACTGTAGGATGTGCAAGGAGATCCAGGCGGAGGAAACAGCATGCGCAAAGTCACAGAGACAAGAAAGAAAATGTCCCATTTTGAGAACTACAAACCGTCCCCATCAGCTGAAGCACAGGGTTCATGTGGACAAAGTGTGAGCAGTGTGTGTGTGCGTGCGTGTGTGTGTGTGTGTGTGTGTGTGTGTGTGTGTGTGTGTGTGTGTGTTGGTGGGGGGAGGGGAGCAGGGACTGCATTACTGCTGAGTAGGAAATGGGCAGGAAAAGAAATCAGCCAGGAGAAACCAGAGGAATCAGTGCCTGAAAGAACTCATACAATCCACACGCCTGAGGTACTTCGAGAGTGTAAGTGTGACCTAGATTATCATTTGCCCCTCTCTCCTATTCATCCCCCACATCCTGCTCAGACACCCCTTCCTCCAGGAGCCTCTCTGACTCCCCAGAATGGACAGCGGCCCCATTACTGCATTGACCTGCTGCAGTGTGTGGACACCACTGTCCTGACTGCTTGTCAATCCGCCCTCCCTGT